GCTATTTTGCCAGCCCTGAGCAACTACTTTTTAAAAATTATTTTTATTTTTTTATTTTACTGAGAAACAAGTAGCAGTAAGACAGTTTCAAAACTGATTAATAAGACAGTCTCAGTAATTAATACATTGTACGTTGTTATCTTCTTAGTGGTTATCCGTAGTACAAGATGCTGACAGGATATCCTGCCCAAACACTATTAGTACAAATCTTTCTTCTCATTGAATTAAGTGAAAGCAGATGGCTGTCTATCTATCCTAACTATTCTGTATATACAGATACAAAATGGTCCTTCCTTTGTATCCCCTTTTTTTGTTTAGTCCTGTCAGAGATGGGTATTCCGTTGGCATCTAAATACTATAGGGTGTGAATTCAGCAAAACACGAGCAACTACTTTGAAGATGACTATAGGCAGTATAACAGCGTTGTTAATTTCCTATTGTCTTGCTTTGAAATTCTGTATCATTTTTATTGTTTTTAATTCTCTTTAAAAAAAAATATATGGTGCGTTTGAAAGAGCCAGATCGTCACGATCTTTCCAGAAGACGACAGCTCCTAGGAGGCAGTGGCTGTCCTTGGGAGTTTTCCATGGGTGACCGCGGATGTGAGACGACAGGCACTGCCTGATGCGGACGGCACTAGCCTCACAGTGAGGCCCCAGGTCCACTGTTGGTTACATCAACAAAGCAGACAGTGGGCAAAGAGGTGCCGACACGAACAAGACGAAGGGAGGATGCAACGGAACAGTAGAGGACCCAAGAAAACTGCTAAATACAAATTACAAAAGCGAAGCCTGAAAAACAACTCTGCCTGTGGTGCTACCACAGGGCAAGCAGAAGCGAAAGCAGGCAGCAGGAGCGGAGTGAAGCTGTAGGAAAGGCAGACCGGGAGCTTCCGGCGAAGCTTTTAAAGAAGAAATCAATGGGGATCCCAGAGGGAAAACAGTGACGGGAGTGACAGAATGTAGTGGAGAGCAAGATGGAAACCAGAACAAAGGCGATGACGTGGACGGTGAGAATTAGGACAAAGGCTAGGGGCCAGTGAGACAGCTCGGTGGTCTAAGGCGCCTGATTAGGCCAGCTTAGGCAAGCACAGGGACCACGGTTCAATCCCTGGCACCGCTCTCCATGCCAGCCCTGCTCCCAGGGTGGGCTGAGCCGCACCCCCCTCAAAAAAAACCAGTTAGAACAAAGTATACAGCGGTGCAGTAGAGCACTCTGGGAAAGCAGATCAGAAGCTACATATCTCAAATATAGTCTTTATTTTCCTGAGCAAAATCAAGAACGATAGTGGCTTCCTATTGCGGCTAGGAAGGCACAGACGTTAATACCTCTGCCGTGCTGTGTGTGTACACATAAAGAAACAGAGGGGTAGAACGAAAATCTCCTGCATCAGGCAAGCCTGGCAATGATGAGTAGAGGGTCTTTGAGCTCAGAGTCCTGTGTAGGTTTGGATCAGATCAAACCATTAAATGAAAATGGGCAGTTTTTTTTTTTTTTTTTTTTTTTCTTTTTGAGTCAGGGTCTCACTATGTAGCTCCAGCTGGCCTTGAGCATACCTTGTAGCCCAGACTGGCTTCAAACTCATGGCAATCCTCCTGCCTCAGCCTCCTGAGTGCTGGGATGACAGGTGTGTGCCTGGCAGTTGGAAGTTCTTGAGGCTAAGCCTGTGCCTGAAAGTCACTCACAGTGGGATGCAGCAGTAGAGGGGGTGGGGAATCAGGAGGACAGCGAGGGCTTGGAAGAGGGCTTTGAGGAAGGAGAGGAAGAAGAAAATGATTCTCGCGCAGCAGGGGAGTGGACCGCAGTGTTTGCACGCCTTTGCCAACTTGCTGGTTGGAAGTGTATAAGAAACCAGACTCAGCTCAGACCTGAGGTGGAAGGAGGTATCAGCTTAGTTACTAGAAAGGAGCACGTGAAGCAGGCAGTGGGTGTTGCCTTCACACAGTCTGAAAAATACCTGAGGCCACTGCAGCCTTCCATGTATGGAGTGGTGCATTTATTTTACCTACAAATGATAATCTTTTATCATAACTGTTAAAAAAAAATCCAGAGAACCACTTACCCAGTGTTAATAGTTTTCTATCTTTTTCCAATACTAGGGATTGAATCTAAGGCCTTCACATGGAGTTACACCCCAGCCTGTTGATTTTTTATTTTGAGACACTTGCTAAATTGCCAGGATGAGTTTGCAGCTGTGATCTTCCTGTTCAGCCTTGTAGGGCACTGGGATTAAAGGGGACACCACACCTTTTTTCTTTATATATACAATGCATTTTCTCATCCATAGTTGGAGTAATACTGTGTGGTATGGCATAGTATAATCTATATCCATTTATATCCTGATCATAAACCTTGTTCATAATCTGTATAAACATAGTTTTACAGAATTACAACAATTACCTTGTGACCCATGGTTTACTCAACTTTCTCCCTATATTTTGACATTCAGAATGCTCTCTGCCCCCCTCATAAATTGAAATAATCCTAGATGAACTCTAATTAAAACTGTCAGAGGCCCAACCTGTCCCCTGCGATTGTTTCTCCTGTATAGTGTATAATGGCGGCAAATCCATGAACCAGTAAGCAAAATGGAGACCATGTTGTGAAAATGTAGGTGAGAAACACTTCTGTAATCTTTGCTTTTCTTCAGTGTAAGAGATCCTTTCCTTAGATGAGATTCCCAGAGATGTAAACCCAGGGTCAAGGAGTGATAAATGTCATTTTCTAGAAAGATAACACTGAATGTATTTACTTCTTCATTTTTAGGAGTATATGTTTGCATTACCTAATATTTACATGTGTTTTGGGGAATTGCTACACCTACCCGCGATCATTTTTACACATTGATTTTAGATTTGCAGCAAGGATGTGTGAGCCTGCCTGGCTTCCGGTGGGGCTCCAAAGGCTCCTCTCACCCCCATCCCAGATCTGGGACACTGAGGTAACCAAATTCTGGAACAGAGTTAACCCTTGTGGAAATGCGCACCCTGCTCCACTCCCTTGCTCCCTAGAACTGCCTTCCCTCCAGGCCCACCCAGGTTTTGCAGCTCTTTCTTCCCCTGTCTTTCTCAGCTAGGTGATGTAATGACCTCGCTTCCATTAAAACCTTGGTGCCCCAGCTGCTGTTGGCTTCATCCCCTGGTGGGTGAGGTGATGGCATTTTAAGGATGCAGTAATGAAAGCATTGGTGACACAAGGGACACTGCAGTGCCAGGACAGAGCTGGGTCTTGGGTCTGGGCCCTGCAGCGTGCACAAGGCTGCCCAGTCCTTGAGTACAGGCCAGGGCTGATCTGGGCAAAGCCTCCTTTCTCCTTTTTTCACTATCAAAATACTAACTGCTCAGAGTAGAGTTGTGTTTTGCTCAAGGGAAAGCGCGTCCCCCAGAGAAAGTGTCAAGGAGAAGCTGCTTCCCGGATGGCATGTAATAAAAGAGTGGTCAGCAGTGTGGCCCAGCTCTTTGCCTGAGACGACTTCATGATACCAGCAGGGCTCCTTTTAGGGCCTTTTAAAATCATTTGATTAGAGCTGCTAAGGGTGTGGATGGCCTTGGTTTGTGTGAAGCTGGTGCTGTGGTTAAATTGCAGATCCCTGGCAGCCAGAGCAGGCAGGAGCCCCCTACCTTGGGCCCAAGCCCTGATCAGCATAACTCAAGCGGCAGAAGGAGGGTTTCCCCTGGTCCTTTCTCTTCCCTCAAGGCCTCAGGTGCCCTTCACGGCAGGAGTGTTACTGGTCTCACCATGGACTTGTGCATCCTTATTTTTCTTGTTTTGGTCCTGAGGTTGAGCACTGAGCTACATCCCTATACCTTTTAACATTTATTGTTAAATTTGGACACAGGGTTGTGTTAAGTTGCTAAATTGTCTAGACTGAGTTCAAATTTATAATCCTCCTGCCTCAGCCTCCCATAGTGCTGGGATGTATAGGCGTGTTCTGCCTCAGCCAGCTAGTATAGTTGTGATAGGCTGAAAGACCAAAGAAAGCACTGAGGAGTGTGCCCAAGGCTCCTGACGGCCGGCCGGACCTGCCAGATGAGCGACAAATCATGGGGAGAGTTTTAGGGGTCAGTGATTCTAGAGAGCCCTTCCCAGTCCTCATGGAGGCCCAGAAAGTTTCTATCTGTGAACCCACGAAAAGTTTTTGGGATCTAGTGAGTTGATTCCAATCTGCCACTTCCAGTGCAACCCACAGTAAGAATAGAGACACTAAGGCATGTTTGTAGTTATGGGAGCCAAGGGTCCCAAGTCCAGCTAGGATGACAGCTTTCCGGAACAAAGGCCTTGACTCAAGGCTGAACCTGGGTTTTGTTAATTTGTGAAGGGAGTGGCTTGAGGATAAGTGACCGGAGAACGCAGGAAGTAGGCGAGTGTGAGCTGGGCTGGGCGGGAGGCCTGCAGTCACCTCTGCAGAATGCAGAGAGGGCTGTGCACAAGAGTGATCTGTGTTACACAACTGAGGCAGTAGCTAATGTTTTGGGGTCGGGCACCAGCTCTGATGTGTCATCTTTCAAGCCCCAGGAAGCCATCGCCTCTCTCTTGAGGCTCCACCCCAGTGGACAGTGTGGAGCACCGGCTCTTCTTCCGTCTCACACAAGGGAGGGGGTGGGAAGACATTCCTACCACCAGCACCTCGCTGGACCGATATGCATTGCTTAAGGGCAATTAAAGGAATAAAGGGAAGTCCTAGCTAGTGCCCTTCTACCAATACATGGCTCAGCCAAAATGGAGACAATCGCCCCTCCTTTAAGGAGAGCCGCGCAGGGGGTCCTCCACAGGGGATGCTTCAGTCAGGCGCAGTCCTAGATGCCCACAGTGAGAGGAAGGGGAGATGGGAAGACGAGCCAGTGGTCAGCTCCCTGGAGACTGCGGGAGCCCGGCTAGAGGGCAGGGAGGTCTTGCAAGGAGAAGGCGGGTATGAGCTAGCGCTGGCCCCACTCGGGTCTGCCCCTCTGCCTCTGTCACGGTCTTCTCCAGTCCTTACAGCCTCGTCTCTTCCCTTCCAGCCAGGCCCATCCTGATGATGTCCCCGCTGGCCACCGTGGTGTGCGGTGCCCGTGCCCGGCTCTTTGCCGGCCTCCTGCGGCCCGGAGCTCAGCACGCTGGCGCTCTGCAGCTGCACACGGGAGCCAGCTGTGCGGCCAAGAGCCACTATGAGGTGCTGGTGCTGGGGGGCGGCAGCGGCGGGGCCACCATGGCCGCCCGCATGAAGAGGAAAGTGGGCGCCGAGAACGTGGCCATCGTGGAGCCCAGCGAGGTAAGCGACCCCTCGAGCGCTGGTGTGCGCGCGCGCACGTGTGTCGGGGTGGGCAGCGTGACCGGCCTCGGGGTCTCCCGTGGTGTATCAGGCAGCCTCCAGCTCTTTCTCCATTCAGATGGAAATCATGAGCTGGCACTTTGTGGCTCTGTCAGCAGCCCTGATGTCACCCGTTAATGCTAGATCCCCGCAGGGGACACTGCCAGCTGCGGGTCACTGCTGCTGCTGGACACCACGGGTCCACTCTGCTGGCGGCTGGCCTCCGGAGCTCATCGGCGCTAACAGCTCTGAGTGTTAATTGCTCTTCTGTAACAATCGCTCTGCCCACGCGACTCCGGATCTGACTCACGGGCAGCTTTACAGGACTATGGAGTGCAGGTTACCTGAGAAGTAACTTGCTAACAGGCTTAGAGGAAAACCGAGGCGGCTCTTTTTTTTTTTTTTTTTTTTTTTTTAATGAGAGGAGAGGGGAGCCGAAGCAAATGAGGGGGAACGGCCCGAGAGCCATTGGCCACCTTCCCCAGCTCAGGGTTGATCTCAGAGGTGCTTCTCCTCCTGGACAGGAAAAGTGTTCATTCCAAAGGACAGAGGAAGGGAGAGGGCAGCTCTCTCGGCTTTTTTGTCCTCTCTCCTGTTTCAGTTTTCAGGGTTTCTGTAACAGAGGACCCCAAGCCAGGCAGCTTGAACAGCAGACACCCATTTGCCCATGGTTCTGGGAACCAGAGGTCCCAAACCAAACCACCCTGCTAGGGCCAGGGCCAGGCTCACTCTGACAGCTGGATGGGGAGCTGGTAGGGACATCCGCACTTCCCTGAAGCTCCTGTGGGCTGGCAGCTGTTCTTGCCACCCCTGGCTTGTGACTGTCACTGCACTGTCTGACCCTGTCTTCCTCTGTGCGACTCTGGCTCCCATGTCTTCAGCAGCTACTGAATTTAGAGTGCACTCTATTCAGGTATGGCCTCATTGAGGTCAGTTAGGTCTGCAAAGATTCTGTTTCTGAAAAAGGTCATGTTCATGAGATTGGGGTCAGGGTAAGGCTGGGGAGACGCTGCCTCACCCCACGCTGGTGTGTTCTCATCTCCACTCCAGTCTGAGGGACAAGGGTGACAGGCTGGGGCAGGGAGGTCCCTGGAAAGTGGAGTGTGAAGGAGAGTTGTGAGTGAGGTGAGGAAACTGGCACCAGAGAGAAAGGCTCTGTTAAAATCTTTGAAGGTGGGGTAAAATCTTTGTGAGGTGTGAAAGCTCTAGCGGCTATCCCAGCGCTTCCTGAGGAATGAGTGAGTGCTGGCTGGGAGCTGTAACAGCCTTGGAAGGGAAAAGCTCAGGGGGTCCCCTGGCTGTCCTGGGGTGTGGGCATGGGGGGCAGGAGAGGAAAGATTTAAGGAGTCAGAGCCATGACTTGAGAGGACCTAGGGGGTTGCTCTCTGTCGCTTTTCTTTTGAGAAGGATTTTTGCTAAATGGCCAAGACTGGCCTTGAACTTGTGGTTCTCTCAAGTAGCGGGGTTTACAGGCATTGGCTGCCATCCCTGCCTTGTCCCTGTTCTCTCTCTCTTTTCTTTTTTGTATACATAGGGGGCGGGGCTGGTGTGGCATGTGTTGCTGGGGATCAAATCATGGTCCCTGTTCTTGCCTAAGCTTGCCTAAGCAGGCACTTTAGTCCACTGAGCTATTTCACCGGCCCTGTCCCTTCTCTTTTTAAAGTGACTTCTATTCAACTGATGGGCAGCAGTTCAGATGCCAGTGGCCCAAGAGCTACATCAGGCGACTGTTTTCTTTGATGTGTGCTCTGTTGTGGTGATCCCATGTCTGTCTCCCAGGGGCTTCCTTTTTTTTTTTTTTTTTTTTGGTCTTTTTGAGACAGGGTCTCGCCATACAGTTCAGGCTGGCCTTGAGCTCACTTTGTAGCCCAGGCTGAGCTCAAACTTGCAACAATCCTCCTGCCTCTGCCTCATGAGTGCTGGGATTATAGTCGTATACCGCCTCTTGGCTTTGGGGCTCCTCTTTATAACAGCAGTGACTGTTTTGGGGATTGGACACTGTTTAGGCCTTACCATGTCTGTCCTGTCCCTTAGGGAAAAACAGGGCAGAAGTCTCTTGAGGATGCCTAGTCTTCGGACCCCTTCCCTGTTGTTTTGTTTTTTTTTTTGGTACCAGGGATTGAACTCAGGACTTTGTGCTTGCCAGGCAAGCACTTATTCTACTGAGCTATCTCCCCAATTCCCCTGTGTTTGATGATTGCTGGAGTTGATGTTTCCAGCTGAACGAAAAAGAAACAAAAACAAACACAAACATAAGAAAGCCCAAGTTTGTATTTTTATTCTTACTGTCCAAGTTACACTGATATGCCCTCTTGGCTGGAGACCTCCGCCCTGCACCCCACTGACCCTGTCCGTCGCTGGCAACAGGGAGCTGGCCAACCCTGCGGGTTGCAGCTGTCCCAGCCCTCCAGTTCGAGCACTTTGGGAAGGCTGAGTGCTCTTGGTGCTCTGGCCCAATGCACAAGTGAACCCTCAGAAGCCATTAAACCACTGCAGCCCTGTTCCAGAACTTTCACAGCTAACTTAGAGCAAGAGTGGACTGGCAAAAGCTGGAGGGCCCGAAGGCAGTGACAAAGTGGTGGAGGTCTGGGATGCTTCACACTGGGTGTGGGGTGGGGTGGGGGCTGGCACTGCCTGACTGTGGATACAGAGACTCTGGGAAGGACAAGAGGGGTTTAACCCACAGTGCCACCCTGGGCTTGGGGACACAGTCTCAAGTTGGGAAATTTTGAGGCTCCCCAGCAGTAGCAGTAAACTTGTCAAACTTCCCATGGCTTCACAACTCCTGGCAACCTTAGTTAGGCTTCTGGGTGTAAGCTTTCTTCCTTGTATCTGTGAATACAAACGTATCCATAGTGTGTGCACACATCTGTGTATCTATGTGCACACACACAAATGCACACACACGCATGCACACAACACACCTATCACATACGTATTGAATACCGACACCCTTTAGCAATAAATAATAGAGTGCTCAGTAGTGATCAGGTTATGCCTTTTAAAAATGATCTTGGAAGAATTCTGGGGTAGGTGATTGTCCTTCAGAGTTTAACATAATAAGAGACACCACAGGGAGGAAGCTAACTGGGAAACTTCACGAGATGCTTCAAGGTCGGTCCAGAGACAGTGATTGAGAGTGAGTTTAGTTCAAACACATCTAAGTGGATGCTGTAGATCAGGCGCAAACTGAAGCCATCCAATGCCTCGTTCCACAGAGACATTTCTACCAGCCGATCTGGACGCTCGTTGGTGCGGGTGCCAAGCAGCTGTCCTCGTCTGGACGACCCACAGCCAGCGTGATCCCGTCTGGGGTGGAGTGGATCAAAGCCCGAGTGGTGGAGCTGGACCCGGACAAGAACTGTGTCCGCACCGACAGTGGCAAGCAGGTAGCATCTCAGGCCTTGGAGGTTTTTTTTTTTTTTTTTTTTTTGTAACCATGGATTGAATTCAGGTATATTTTGTATTTTGGTTCTTGGACAGGGTCTTGCTATGTAGTGCAGGCTGGCCTTGAACTCACTGTATATCCCAGGCTGTGCTTGAACTTGGGGCGATACTCCTGGCTCAGCCTCTGGAAGGCAGGAGTTATAGGCATATGCTGCCATGCCTGCTTGAATTTTTCTGTTAATAGGAGGGCTCACTTAATGCACAACAGGGCAGCTTCCTGGCAACAGACTGGCACGTGTGCACATGTGTGGAGACCACTGTGGGAGCTGGCAGGGCACGCGGTCGGTGGAGAAGGGGAGGATGCTGAATTAGCGCACAACCGAGACAAGCACTGCTGGCTCCCTGTGCGAGTGTGCACCATTCTGATTTCTCTAGCTTCTTGTAGCGGTAGCAGGCGGCTTACTGCACACGTGTGGTTGCCACACAGAACGAGAGCAGGCATCCCCTGACACCTGGCCTCCCAGGGGGAACGCTGTGGGGAACACGAGGGCCACTCTGCGGAGCTGTAGGGGCGGCTGGTGGCTGACGCTTGTGCTAGGGGTGAGGGGAATTGTGGCTACCAGAGCTCGGGACTCATGACTGTGGGCACTGCTTAGACGCCTCCTCCTAGCCCTCCATGTGCAGGAGTCAGAGCTTTCCAACCTGGCTGCCACCTCTCTGGCCAACAGGATGAGAGCAGGCGGAGAGACCACAGGCTCAGCACCCGCCTGCAGCTTCCTGTGCAGCTGAGCCGCGGGAGCTGGATAAGGCAAGGGGGGGCAAAGGCTCAGAGCTGTCCAGAGCACAGCTGGCTGTTGTCTCTCTCGGTCAGCGCCGTGCTGACGCAGGGCCTGGCTGTTCCAGCTCAAGGGCCCTGCCCCACTGTGATCAGGCCTGGCTTCCCTGTCCCGGAAGCGGGCAGTGACTGCTTATGAAAGCAATGAGCAGTAGAAACACACACGCAAGTGAATATGTGCATGAGTGTGTTTTATTTTATTTTTTATTTGTTTGGTTTTTGAGACAGGGTCTCACTATGTAGTTCAGGATCGCCTTGAACTCATTGTGCAGCCCAGGCTTGTGGCCACTCTCCTGCCTCAGCCTCCTGAGTGCTGGGATTAGGGGTGTGCACCAGCATGCAAAGTTCACAGTTTTATTTTATCTATTTTATTGGTACTGGGAATCAAACTCAGGACCTTGTGCTTGCCAGGCAGGCTCTGTGCTGCTGAGCTATCTCCCTGGCTCTACAGTTGTATTTTAATTGAAAACCCTGAATATTTTTATAATGCATTTTTCCCTCTTGATGCTTCAGAACTTCCTTATTTTCTTCCGAGTCCCCAGGAGAGCAGGTTGATTACACAAATGTTTGGTCTCTTTCAAAAGGCTGAGATTGGTGGCTCTTTATGGGGTTTGGCATGGGTTGGCTGTGTGCTCAGCAGGGACTGCTGCCCAGATTCAGCCTTCCAGGGGCAGGAAGGTCTTGGTGGGGTCCTGCTTATCTCAGGGTCATAGGTCTCTGTCCCTGTGTTTGTGTTTCTGTGTCTCTGTCTGTCTCTCTCCCTCCCCCTCCCCCTTCCCCTCTCCTCTTCCCCCT